CTGCTGTTTTGAAAGTAATCCCTTTTTGGACAGAAGATCATTTGTAAGCTGTATAGTTTTAACTATTGTAATTCAAGCAATTATCATTGTGATAAGTGACTTGGAATAGGTTTTTAATTGTAAGGGTTGTGTAGCACTCAAAGCTTTGAAGCAAGAGTGTTTGTATGTCTCTTGACTAAAGCTGTGAAGCAGAGTCAAGTTAGTTGTGTGTATCACTCAAAGCTGTGAAGCAAGAGTGGTTGTGTTGCTTGATTAAAAAGCTGTGAAGCTTAATCAAGTGTATGTTTTTGAAGAATGTCTTCATCAATTCATTAGTCAAATTGTTTTATGTATCACTGTTGTGATTGAGGGGGAGTGAGTAGGAACTCAGGTTTAAGTTGTACTTAGATTGAAATTGCATTGGGTAGGTCTTAAGTGAAGGAGATAAACTGGTTGGTTTATTCCTGAATTATCATCTCTTATAGTGGATTTCCTCCCTGGCTTGGTAGCCCCCAGAGTAGGTGTTGTTGCACACTGAACTGGGTAAACAATTGACTGTGTTCTTTACTGTTTTTGTATTTACTGTCTTATAGAAAGTCAGATACGGTGTCATAACATTGAACGTGACATTGAGTATCTGCAGCCAGAATTTCAACATGTTTTCTTCTCATTGTTACTTTCCACACCCTTTATGTAGCATTCCGCCCTTGTGACCACATATGCTAACGAAGATGTTGGCCTTTGGGCGAGGGAATCGTTGAAGTGCCCTGTCTTGAAATGAGTGAGGCATTCCCTCATTGACTTTAAGCGGCATTTCTGAATGTTACACAGGCTAGTGGTGGTCATTTTTTTGTGTCGTCTGGATGCGAACTAGTGTACAAATTCACCAGCTCCTGGTTGTTGATGATGGAAGTTCGGGGTAGGCCCATGTACCATTGCAAGGTTGAACCTCTGAAAGTGCCGAACAACAACTTGCATTTCAGAGAGTTTGGCGCTTCCATCTCCTCTGTGAGGATAGCCTCATGTTGGCTTTGTAGGATGATAAGGACATTGTCATTTAGATTTTGATTCTGGCAACAGAGTTCGTCCATGGTGGTGTTCATATTCGCTATGGCGTTGAGATTGCTGCTACCTCCAACATCCTCTTGTGTTGGGGATTGTGTTCTTCTGGAAACCATGATTGGGAACAATTAGGGTTAGAAGTGGAGATTTTGGTGATTGTTAAAGTGGTGGTGATAATGGAAGATGTGGCCCGGGTTAGTGTTATCGAGGCACCATTGTACTTGCTAAAAAGTATATATGTCTAACACCCTTAGCCTGGCAAGGGTGGTCAGAGGCTTTAAGGATTTTCGGTGGTTTTAGGGCAAACTCATTGTGGTGAGAGAGTCTATTTCAAGGTAATTTCGATGAGGAGAGCAAACTCACGTGAGGTGAGAATCTCTGCAATTTTGGGGTGTTTCGTGTTTATTTTGAATATCTCCTCAACTCTTAGGTTGAGGTATTTATAAGGCCATTGAGTCTGGACTTGGAGACCCCTGAGAAGTAGTAACTGCTCCACTTTGATTGGAAAGCTGCTGAGTGCCTACTTCTTAGAAAATTGGGACCATAACTCATTGCACATGCAGTTATAAGCAATGTACACGTCATCGTCTATGTTTTCACTTAGGGCGAGCCACCTACCGCGTGGGAGTTAGACTTAGGCAACATGCTTTGGGGCGGGCGCTTGATGAGGATAGGTCATGTCCCACTCCCTTTTATGGACCTTTACAAATATATCACTATACCATCCTATAAAAAAAGGAAGTGGTTTGATCTCCAAATTTGCGGCAAATTAATTTAGCCTTTTTCATACATAACATTTTTTTTTTTTGCCAAGGCCTGCTTCAAATCATGTTAAGCTAATCTTTCCTTGTCTCTCAAAAAAGCATTTTTTTTCTTTCCATTTGAATTTGGTCTTGTATTTTGATGAGATTGATCGTAGATTAAATAAATCTGTGAACGTTATCAGAAGACCTCTTTATTCCAAAACTTTGAGATTGGTTTTGAACATATGAAGCTTTTTAGACAAGATATACATAAAGCAACCCACTACTGGTTGAGACCAACAATTGACTAGTAAATCTCTGCACCAGTTATGCAGGGTCCACATACTAAATAATTTAAACTGAGACTTGAATTTAAGGGATGTGAAACTTCTTCAAAAATAATGGAAAAATGGATTTTGGCGAGAGTTGTGAAAGTAAAAGATACATAAATATTGTACTAACTCTGGTTGCAAAAATGTGCATCAATCATAATCAAATACCATTTATTGTATTTAGTTAATTACCATTATTGGTTTTCTAGTATAACATTGTGCAGTATTGCCTTGCACAATGTAACTATCATATTGTTCCCACACGTAGGGGTGTATAGAATTCAACTGAGTTTGATCCGCAATTTCACATTTAAAACCGATTCAAGCCGATTTATGGGTTATATTTCAAATAAAAAAATATTTTTTTGATAATTTTTTAATTATGAAATAAATTAAACACAATTCAGTTCAATTATATTTATTTCTAACACTTAAATTTGATGAAACACATCACATAATATTTAATATAAATCATCTGCATAATATAATATTTGATAATAAAAAAAAATTCACAAAACAAATTATTTTCATAAAATACATAAGTTGAAAATGGTAAAAAAAATTAGAAACAAAATTGTACTTAGTAATAGTGAGATATTTATTTTAAATTTTCATTTAAAATAATAATAATAATAATAATAATAAATAAGAAATCACTAATGTCACATCAACAAATCCATAAATTGAGAAAGTCAAATCCTATATCCGAACCAAAACAATACAGATTAGGTTAAATATATCTGTAAATGAACGAATTCGAATAATTTATATAAGGCATTTCTTACCATGTCCTATATAATTGAAAAATACTCTATACAATTTCGAAAATGTACTTGCATAATTAAAAATATATTTTTAGGACGCACCTTATTTTTATTAAACATTAATTAAAACTGGAAATACAATTACGAGATGGAATCGTAAATATATTTTCGATTTCTATGCAGACAATAGCAAAAAAGTAATGCAGACACTATACAATTTTCGCATTGTTTCACATGTTATTGTAAACTATAAAATGAATACAAAGATATGTAATCCAAAACATTATCCAAATACAATCCAAAAATCGATAAACAAAATATTATCCAAACCAAAATACATATACAACAACAAAGACTATTGGGTATGGCTGACGATGAGTCACAACTCGTCACCTTCTCGACGTTCCTCCGCTGCCTCCTATACCACATAGCATCTACTATCAACACGAACCAGAAATACAACTACGGTCTCAATCGTAAATGTATTTCTGATTCGTATTTGTGTGTTAGTTTGAGATTTCCGGTCTTAACAATTGTGTGTATTTAAAGTGCTTCAGAAAATACAATTACGATTTCACAGTTGTATTTTTAATTAGTTCTCAACTTACATAAAGTCTCATCCACCAAAATTTAAATATAAATACTTATCAGAAATATATTTCTGATTTCCAGAAATATTTTTTTATATTTTCACGTGATGCACAAGAAAAAAAAACTATGAAATAGATTAAAAAATTACCTTTATTAATTGATTCGATTTAGATCAACATGTTAATGAGCTGACTTGCACACCATGAACTCCCCAACCTCACTTGTATATTTATACATGTAAAATGAGTGAATAACCATGCATTACAAAATATATCTCTCCTTGGACTAAATATTTTGGAATCAAGTCCCTAAACTAATATATTTTTTAACGGATTAAATATATTTGTGGTTCATTTAAATGTTTTATATTTATATATTTTGGAATCAAGTCCCTAAACTAATATATTTTTTAATGGATTAAATATATTTGTGGTTCATTTAAATATTTTATATTTATATTTTATTTTTTATAAAAAAATCTTTAAAGAATAATTTATCTAAAAAATTTTATCAATATTTTTTATCTCTTTTACAATTTAGCGACGATTTTTATAATTTAACGATAAAATTAATAATAATTTTAGCAATAATTTACTATTTAGCGATTGAATTAACAATAATTTTATTGGTGATTTTAACAAGAAAGATCGAAAGTGTGGATTATAGATTTTTAGAAAGACCATTTTTTAAAAAAAAATTTAATCAAAAATAAAATATAAAATATTTAAGAGAATCAAAAACATATTTAATTTTTTTTAATTAAGTTTTTTTATTACATTTTAATAAACAAAAATATAACAAAAGAACATCATTACAAAAATATAGTCCCTCTAATCACAATTAAAAATTTTTGGTCACTATTATAAATAAGTATAATTATTTTTGACTTGTTTAATGCTATTATTCTTAATATACCATTTATTTAATGCAAAAATATTTAATAAAGATAATTGATAAACAAGAAAAATTCAGTAAATTTGTCTTATGGTTTACATGAAAATTTTAAAATTAATTAACTTAACTGTATTTCTTAATAGTGATTGGAAGGAGTATTAGTTTCGAGACCTGATTACAAATTTGTTTAGTTAAATAATTTATTTGAAAATTTCTAAATAATTTAAGAACTTTCAAAGAATATGTCTCCACGTGGTTCTTGAGTTGAAGAGTTTATGCATTTAGGTGAATATGGTAATTGGTATAGTATATACTAAAAAAACCACAACTTGCCTTATGTCAAATATTTTCAGCAGCCTTATGGTTTCACTATGCCTTGTGCTAACCCATAAGACCATTCAGCAGCAACACCAACAAACACACATCATAGACTCAAAAACTGTTCCAAAATTTCTTTCTTTTTCTCTCTCACACAGAAACAATAACATGATTTTCATTTACAAATGACAATTGTTTCTATAACAAATGAGCCTAGAATCCAATCAATGTAGAATAATGATATGTAACTAAATACTAGTTTAATAATAATACATGATCAATGCAACACATTAAGATGTTCATGGCTTACAACATATCTAGTCGTGACACCCAAGAGACTTGGGCATTTAAATTGGTGTTTGAGCTCTCCAATTCTCAATTTTGGTCTTAAGATCACTACGCAATGAAATAAGTGATTCATGACGACGGACAAAAGATGCAGTAAATTGCTTAACCTCCCCTTCTAGATTTTTCCTTCTCTGTACTTCAATATTTAAATCTTTCAAAGCATTTTCCTTTTGGTTTGAAACCATTGCAAATTTATCAGACGATTCAGATAACTTCTGTAGCAAGGAATCTCTTTCGTTCTTCAAAAGTAGTAACTCCCTTTCCAGGCTTTCATTTAAAGCATCCTTTGAGTAAGCAGTTTCTGTTTCTCCTCTCAAACCGGAGCCCTTTTGTCACAAAAATTTAGTTTAGGATAATTCAGAACCTCTCCTAACTTCATTTGAAGATTTTTAGAAGGAAAATAATGACATCTATAGATAAATAAGCCATAATATGATTTAAGCTTTTTATAATTTGAAGTGCAAGTAATACAAGGAGACCATGAGAGATCTAGTATAACACATTTCATTTCTTACAAATTGCAATCCTTATGTGACATACATATTCGACAAATACAAATAGAGTGAACACTGATTTTGTAATGGTATATAATCACACAAAAACTACTATATCTATATATATATATTTTTAATTATTTGTTCAATTTCAGCTATTGAACAAATGTTAGTCAAGGCTTTAGTTACTAAGTGATATTAATGGCAAGTTTTGATGAAAGACATAAGATATCCTAAAAACAAGACACAGAATAAAACCATGATTGATGATTGATATCTTGATATTTGAGGCGAGACAACTACCTTGTGTTCGCAGTTGCACAAAGGAGTTCTCTCTTCCTTTTCTGTTGTTGAGCTTTCTGATAACTCCAGTGATGTAATTATGTTATTCATCCTCTCACGAAACTCTTTTCGTTGTTCTTGGATTATAGCGTTGTTTCCGGTGGAAGACCTTTCACCATTTCTATACATTGTAAAGTGACCTTCTAAAGTTGAAAATAGCTGTGCGCCAATTTCACTCATGGTCGAAAGCATCTTTTCAGTTGAGAATTTTCCATCCAATGCAAATCTCTGTTTAGAATACAGGGAAAAAAAAAGTTAATTTACTGTTTCTTGGAATGATCATGACAAATAAAAGTGATATGGAGCACTCATTCAACCTGCATTACTGATAAAACCTCCTCAAAGTTAGCTCTGTAGTTTTCCACAGATTCCAATAACCTCATAGGCAATTCTTGAATAAGTTGTGTTTCTTGTTGATTTTCTAGGCTCTCCCCTATTAATTGCTTGCTTGATGGTACTTCGTCTGAAAGCTTTCTCTGGATTAATATGCATCAACACAAGGCCATGCACAATTCAGAGTCCAACTTAGAAGAGGGAGCTAAAAAGGCAAAAACTTGGTGGTACATAGCATCAAGTATATTGTATACTAACCTCGAGTTCATTTATCTTTTCATGAGCAAGCTCTAGTTGTCTTCTCAAAGCTTGACCCTCCTGTTCGTACTTTTCAATTTGATTTATACAACCCTGACAAACATCGGCCAAACAGAAAAAACTATAAAAAACATATTCATAATAAAAGAAAGATTATTATGGTATTACTCAGTTAAAAGCAACACATTCGTTACACAATGCTGTTAGAAGTACATTGCAATTAAAAGTATAGTCTGCACAATTTTTAATTTTTGAAAAATCTATATACAAAAATCATTGAATGGTGCGTGTATTGGTCAGATATAGGAAATTTTTCTACAGTTCATTAACCAATGATGCTATATATATTGCTACTCTTCCTTTACTTCTTGTCACTTTTGGGAAAGCAGTGGATGGAATATGGATGCAAAATAGAATGACAAAAAAGAAAGATCCTTTTAAAAAATAGAATGAACAGATATGAACTTACAGGAGTTGTATTACTTGGTGGGAATGATTGATAATTTCGAGGGGGAGTCAATTGAAGAGAATCAAGGTCCGCAACATAACCATTGTTCATTTTCAACCACATATCTTCATCGGCCACATTGCTGAAAGCATCTGGGAGAGGACTACTATCTGGCGGACTACTATCTAGCAATATTGAATTCTTTGATCGCTTAACAACAAAAGCACTGGCTGCCTTTAAACAGGGGGATTTAAATATATCTCCTTGAGACGCACTGTTAATGTCACTGTACTCTTCCATAAATCCTTGTCTCCTCAAATATCTAGGCACCTAACAGTACATGAGAATTATTGGAACAACAAAATGGAGCAAAAATGTAGAAAAGAGTGGGAAAGAAAAGCAACATAAAAAGGAAAACTACGAATTGTCCAGAGGAACAAATATGTTCATGCAGATATACAAAGTAACATAAGGATCCAAATAGACTACACAAATGACAAAATTGTGCTGGGAAATGTTTTATTAAAATTAGAAAGTATTTAGCATTTAGCTTCATATGGCATTATTAGTTAATTTCTTACGAGATGTACCTGGTTGTCATTCGTCCCACAGTTTGAGATTGAGAACGATGTAGTATTGGAATTTTCAATTTTCATCCGTTGCTCTTCCATCCATTGATTACGTGATTTTCTCTCCTCTTCCAGTTCCATTTCAAGCTTCCCACGCTCCATTTCATACTAAATAGTGCAATGTAAATACATAATTAACACAACAATGTAAAAGAGATTTCAATTAATGCTTTAGCATGATTTAATTGTAACTCTGCATAGTGCACATAAACTTGAAAAAGTAAAACCTGCCTTGAGCAAATCGTTCCTGAGTTTAAGAATCTCTTGCTCGAGCACCCCGGCATGGGATCCCTAAACAGAAAATATTAATATTAAGATTTTCAGACATGAGGTGTAAACAAAAATTATCATTAGGAGACAATTACCTCAAGTTTCTTCTGAAGCTCTTCAATCTCTAACTGTTGCCTCTTTAACAATGCTGCATCTGTCAGAATCTGTACAATTCCAACCATTAAGAAAATCTCTTTTACAAACAAGAACTTAAGTATCATGATGCAAATAGAGACAAACATTTCCCGACAAAAACAAGTAAAATGTAGAGAAAATTTTAGGCTTATTCCATTTCCTTGGCCTGAGTTAGCTTCCTAATATGATTGTCCGAATTGGTCTCCTATTTTCTTCTTCAATAGATAGTTTAGTTATATACAATGATTATTCAAGTAAATCAACTGATGTTAGACAACACAACACTACAACCTGCATAATTCTGCTACCAGTACAAGCCAAGTCTTTTCAATAAATCGCTTTAAAGTTTCTTCAATTTTTGGCAAATTTCAAAAGAAAAAAATAACTTACAAACATTTCACAATTCTAGAAATATGAGTGAGAACAAAAGCATCCACAAATATAACATAGTGAAAGTCAAATAGGAAAATATTAAACAATTTGAAGGGCGAAAAAATATTAAATAGGGTAACAAATACATACCTCATTCACTTGAACACAATTGGTGATGCGGCTGGCTCTACTAGCAAACTGAAGAGTTCCTTTTGTTTCTTCAATGTGAACCTAATTGATATTAAAAATATTGGAGTTGTGAAATCATATACTAGTCATCAAACAAGAAAAGGAGAGAAACAACAAAAAGCACGGCCTCTACCTCTTCTGGTGCTACGGTACAAATAATGGAAGTTTTGGCATTTCCACCAAGAGCAGGTTGGAGTATTCGTGTTAACTTACTATCACGATATGGGATATGCCCCCTACAACAAAATGCAATATATCCAGCATTATTAACTTAAAAGCTATAAAATTAGAATAATGTACACACAGCAGCAAAGCCAAAAAATTTATACTTTTGTTTTGAGCCTTCACTTAATTTATTAATCACATTTCCTAAAATCATCAAGCTCTTGTTAATATATTTTCCCTCTTTCAAACGTACTCCATCAGCTCCGGTCTTTGCGATCCTTTCAGATCCAGCAAGATCTACTAAATTCTAATTCCACAAACTCATCCATATAAGCATGCAAGTTTGTAAGAAATTCTTATATAAAAGTAATACGGAAGGAAATGAAATAGTACAAACCAAGACTGAAACTCGAACAATGTCATTTGAAGAATCATCAGAAGAATTGGAATCCTTCCCTTTACTTTCAATCACCTGCATATTTGATTAAAATCATATTTGCTTAGTACTAATTTGATAGAGAAAGAATATGTATTAGTATATTACAAAATTTAAAGGAAATGAGGAAATACCATTCTAAATATGGTATGCGATCGGCTACTTCTAACATTCATATTTGTCTCACCAAAGTGTCTATTCTCTGCAAAATCGAAACAACTATTAACTTGGATGTAGCATATAGTTTGCTAATTGTAACTTGAAATAATTAAAGCAAAAAGAATCCAGTGCTAGAACACTAAAACTACAAACCTTCCCCTGCTTTAATGAGATTTAGCACTTGTTCAGCATTATTCACAATTTCCTCTCTGAGTCCAGCAACAAATACTCCCCGCTGGAAAATAAATAAATAAATAAAATCAGTACATTTTTCATTACATTATTATTACTACATATACATTCCATACACCAAGTAAACAACCTCCAGACTCTCATGAATTTGCAATTTCTGATTTTCAACAACAAGAAGGTCATTAATCTCTTCATTATAAATCTCCATGTAGGAAACACGAATCAAAAACTCCCTTTTAGACATCTGAAAAACAATGAAAACAAGGCGCATGAGCTCGTCATCGAGGTTAAAAACTTAAAATCGAAAGAACTTCTCCTACTACTGTCTCTATCATTGCAAATATGTCTTTAACTGCCCGAGGAATCACTCCCGGATCAGTTTCACAACCATTCATGGTGAAAGTCTTCCCACTACTTGTCTGTCCATAAGCAAATGCAGTCCCTGACCATATCGTCATAATTTCATTAAATTCACATTTATACCCAAATCTAACACAAAATAAAAATAACTTCTTTTGTTTAATTTAAATACCGTTGAAGCCATTGAGTGCAGCGAGAATGATATCCTTAGTGAGAAGCTCATAGACACTTGAATTCGTGCTAGATTCATCGAATATATGATCTGACAAAAGTTGAAAATTGAAGATGAAAAAAATTCCAAGAACACGAAATTGATAATGATAATTCAATTCAATTCAATTATATGTACCGAAAGCATAGCAAGAGCCGGAGAATGGAGTTCCGTGAATCCTGTGAAGAGAGATACGGTTATCTTCGACTTTCCAGAAGCTTCCATTGACGGAGTCTCCGGAAACCAGAGGACGGACTCGAACGGCTACGCAGATCTTCTCCATTTGCTTTTTTTTTTTGTTCTTGCAGGGGAGCGGGATTAGCCAGTTCCCTTTTTCTCTGGGAATTTGAATTGAATGTTTTTCTTTATTGACGGAAATACCCTCGGTCAAACGGATATTTGTTTAAAACCTCGGATCCCACGTGTATACCCTACTCCACTAAGGGGTGGGACATGTGTATTTTACTGCACTTTAGCGCGAGGGCGGATTAAAGATTTAAATCCTCATTTTTTAACGTGTTGTCTATGTACTATTCTATATCTTAATGTGTTTTTACGAGTGCAATCATTTATATGAAATTTTTGTATTTTTTATTTAAAATATGCCGTGTTTATCGATTTTCTCCATTTTACATTTATTTTTTTACGGAATTTGATTTAGATTTTAGGTTCGCATCCTCAGTTATATTCATTCTATTCTTTTACAGATTTTTGCGAGACTGACTTAAATGGAGCGGATATGTCTGTTTACCACTCTTAACATGAGTAAACTTTTGTTTTGATAATTTTCTAACATAAAAACCGTAGTTAAAATGGTCTCTAATTTCGTCGCTAAATAAAAATCGTCGTTAAAATCGTTGCTAAGTTGTAAAAACTTTCGCTAAATTGCAGAATGGGCCAAAAGTTAAAATTTAATTTTTTTTATGAGGACCATTCTTTGAAGGAAAATTTTAGAGGGATTAAAAATGAAATTTGAGATATTTAGAGGGACCAAAAACTTATTTAATCTTATTTTAAATAATAAATACAAAACAAATTATCAAAATATTGGCCACATATTTAATATTCTAAATTATTTAAAATAAATAACAATGTACATATAAAATAAATGGGGCGGATTCAGGTGGGTACTAGTGTCCCCATTACCCGATCCATCCCCATATTTTATAGACGGGGAAAACCCAAACCCAGACAAAGTGGTTTTTCCCCGTCAACTTCGGAGGGGGTTCGTGTGGGTACCCGCGGATACGGGTTTTGTTGACATGCCTAACTGCCCCTATGATCGACGATACCTTCTCTGCCTTTAACTACACATCTGCCCGCGGTAACAGTTAGTTCCCAGTCTACCCGTAAGATATGTGGTTGTTTTCCAAGACGACGAGCATGAGCTGCTCGGTCATGCTTTCACGCAAAATTCTGGCATTTACCTATTTTTGGGCCTGGATTCTAGATGCACAACCCATAATAGAAACCAATGGTCAAGCGTCGTGGGCACTATAAATACCCTCACTCTTGTGAGGGTCGGGTAATTCAAATCTTATCCCTAAATTCTCTCACATATCTCTGCATTCTTACTTACTTCAGCATCAGAGTGTCTTGCAGGTACACCCCCCTCCATGATTTCAGCACTGCAGACGAAGTTACTGGCCCATTACAGGTTATGATCATCGCTAAAATCAATGGTGTCATTTATGGGAAACCTGTTTTCCCCATCTTTCTTTCCCCAGAAACCAAAAATCAAAGCAACGTTTCAAGATTTTGATCATGGCCAGTCAAGACAACAACAACCTTGCTCACAATACTGTCATCTCGCAAGTCTGCAAAACTGACAACGATGGAGAAATGCCACTTCTCAAAGAAGCTTTTCCTACGAAGAAGGACGTTCGCACTGCATCTCCTTCCTCTGACAAGGAAAAAGACGAAGATGTCCAGTTCGTGGAGACAATCAATATCAAGAAAGCTCAAGAAATGGCTCCGGAAAACTTCCAGCCAATTATGGTGCCATGTAACATTGACCCAATTATGGAAGCATTGCTCGCAACACTCAATCAAACCAACACTCTGATCCTCCAGCAGAATGATATGATCAGGGTGTTAGAGAAATGACTCCATTCAAGATCTCCTCCACAGAGATACCGACGACGTGGGTCTTGTAGCCCATTGTCGCAACGACTTAGTCGTCACTCGGCATCAGAGAAACCTGAGGTTTTGTTTATCAAGAAATGCAATCGTACTCCACCCTGCAATGACCGGATCTCCCCGGTCGCCAAGAAAACCAAGGGCAATCGACGATCAGAAAACCGTCATTTACCTTTCCCCAAGCTAAAGGTCCATCCAAAAAGCCCGTCTCCCCGTCAAGATGATAGCCTTCGCTGGGGAAAGAATAACTACTCTCTACTGCACTCACCAGGCTGGAGCGACGAAGATGACTCCCGTGGTCTGTTATCACAGGCAATCATGGAAACTTCCTTACCTGTCGGGCTGGAAAAGCCTCCAATCTTTGGGACATATGACAAAACTACCGACCCAAACGAGCACATCGAGAATATTAATGTCCTCCTCGACTACGGAGGCGTCATGGGCGCTGTAATACGTGGGAGAACTGACTTGGTTATTTTGCGTTTGATCGTATTTGTTGCGGATAGCAAGAGTCACCACCGACTTTTCTTTTATCCAAATAAGGAAAGGGTGAAAAAAACAGGAAAGACCTTTGAGATTATTTTCTTGAGTTCGGGGGGTAGGTTATAAAAAGGGAAGGTGTTAGCACCCTTTCTATCCGTAGTTATCTACAGGCTCTTAGTTGCTTGCTAGATCACTTTCTTTTTGAAAATGTGCTTGTGATGTGGGTTTGAAAGTATTTTGAAAACGTCTTTGTAATGATTTTCGTTTCTATAAGAACGCGTACAAAGTGTTGGTTTTGAAAAATAGTTTAAAGAAGTGTTTGTGGAATGTGTTTTTCAAAGTGATTTTGAAAAGTGTCTTTGTAATGATCCTCGTTTCTATAAGAACGCGTACAAAGAGTTTTGTCTTTTAAAAATGTTACAATTTGAAAGTGTTGGTGTAAAAATATTTTTATTGTGAGCAAGCGAGCAACTAGGAGCATCCTATCTACTCAAAAGGTCTAATGTTTCTTTCCTCCTCCTTTAGATATTGTTATTTTACCATTGATTTGGTAAGAAGCCCCGTCATTGGATGTGAAGGGACGGGCGTGGGACATTTTTATAGTCATGAATAGCAATGTTGTGAGATATCTTAGCATTTCTCTCTAGGGACTAAGATCATTTGTAAGGCAACATTCGAAGCGTCATCGAGGGACTATGATCTTTTGATTGTTTTTGCTAAAACGTCTCACATTCATATTATGACCATTTTATCAAGGCAACAAGTGGAGTTAACCCTAGAGGTGCATGTGTACAAGTGTGTTTGATTGCATGCATTTTTGTCTTGAATTTAGGGTTTTCTAAGCATTTAAATTGAACCAGCAGAGGTCTGGAATAAACTCTAATTGGAAGGAATCAGGATAAATCTTTGGAGTGATTTATCTGAACTAGAGAAAGCGTCTACCGTGAAGAAATCAGGATAAACCATTGATCAATTTAAACTGAACCAGTAGAGGTCTTGAATTTTCTTTAACTGGAAATAATTAGAATAAATCTTTAGAGTGATTTATCTGAACCAGAGAAAGTGTCTACCGGAAAGGAATCAGGATAAACCATTGATCAATTTAAACTGAACCAGCAGAAGTCTTAAATATTCTTTAACTGGAAATAATCAGGATAAATCTTTGGAGCGATCATCTGAACCAGAGAAAGCGTCTACCGGAAAGGAATCGGGATAAACCATTGATAGATTTAAACTGAACCAGCAAAAGTCTGGAGGAAGTGTTTGTCATGCAGATAGTCACCCCATCTTGTTTCGGGAATTAATCTACAAGTAATTTATTCACAGATAGTTGTCATGTCTTGTCGAAAATTGTTTGATGATAATTTCTGTTGATTGATCTTTCCTGAAAAGGTAAAAAGTTAGTTGTATGAAATGTCATGATGTATGAAATGCATGGCGTAAAGATGTTTCTCGGAATAAATGAGATTATGATATATGCATTTGTGTTGTCGATGATATGATGTATGAATGCAATGTATGAACATATTAGTTGTTTTGCTGCAGTGTTGCTGGACTAGAGAAAATAAATCCCTGACCGCTGCTGGAAATGAGGAGTGTAAGTCTTCATATTTTGTTGAAGTTGAAGTGTCGATAGATGGTTTTCCACTTTTAGAGAAATAAGCTCTGTTGGGGAAGGGAAACTCCGTGCATTGTTTGGGGATTTTGTGAAATCCTGCTGGGAAATCTTGACACCATTAGGCTTCGTACTGAAAATATGGCAGTGATCTTGTAGCAGGATATCTCTGCCTCTGTACTTGCTGGAGAAGGTACATGCTGGAGGAAATATCTACGGGGATTTCGTGGATGGCCCTTAGATATTGTCCCGTTTCTTAAAGCCATTAGTAACTGTCTTTTTTAGTTTTTTTTATGCGAGTATTTGCAAACGGTAATAACATTCAAATGCATATGTTAAAAAATAATCACTGGACGTTTTTTGCAAACAAAACAGAAAAATAAAAACAAATAGTTTTGCACTTTCAAAGGGATTGCTTTTGTATTGGTTTGAAGGATTTGTGCCTATAATAGGCGTTTTGTACAAGGAGACGAACATCCTAGTAAGAGAATGTCGTCGTAAGAATGAAATAATACAAAATAGTGTACCAAGAAAAGAAACAATTATGTGAAATAATCCCATCAGGTTCTTATTTTGTTATTGTCTTTATGTCTTTGAGCGTCTCATCTCTTCGCTGTTTGTCCGAAGCTGACTGGATTGATTAATACCGCTTGAGCTTGACAATTGATACTGAATATTTACTGTAAGATGATCCAACGGGACATAGTCATATGCTTAACATCCCTAAATTTTTCCTGGACCTCCCTTTCGGGTTTTTAGTCCACCGGGATACCCTTTTTTTCTCAAGCCGCCTTTTCAGGTTTTTGACTTGCCGGGTGTACAATTTTTTTTGTATATCCCTAATTTTTGCCTAGGCCAGTCAACCTAGCGGGTCTTTTTCATGCGTAGTATCTTTTAACTATGTTCGCGTTTACAGTGTGCGAAAGGTCATCACCGTCCATAGTGGTTAAGATCATTGCCCCACCCGAAAATATGTTTTTTTATCACAAATGGTCCTTCGTATGTAGGAGTCCATTTTCCCCTGGGATCACCTTGTGGCAGTATGA